ACAAGCGGCTGAAATGAGTTTTCTCCGTAGTGTGTCTGGGCTCTCCCTTAGAGATAAGGTGAGGAGCTCAGTCATCTGGTGGGGGCTCACAATAGAGCCACTGCTCCTCCACATCGAGAGGAGCCAGTTGAGGTGGCTCGGGCATCTGATTAGGATGCCTCCTGGACGTCTCCCTGGTGAGGTGTTCCAGGCATGTCCCGCCGGGAGGAGGCCCAGGGGGAGACCCAGAACACGCTGGAGGAACTATGTTTCTCGGCTGGCCTGGGAACGCCTTGGGATTCCCCTGGAGGAGCTGGCCGAAGTGGCCGGGGAAAGGGACGTCTGGGCCTCCCTACTGAAGCTGCTACCCGCGCGACCCGACCCCGGATAAGCGGAAGAAGACAGAGGACTTCTTTAGTCCTAACCTGCTGAAGAGAGCAAAGTTGCTCTATTCAAATAAAGCCAAAGCAAACTGTTAATTCCACTTGAAAATTGGTATAAAACTATAGCAGTAGCCATTCAAAATGACCCTTCACAGTAAAACGCCAGCAGAATGGCAGCCCACTTCCGTCCGACTCCCAGGGAAATCCCCTCTAACTTACAGCCTCTGGGGTGACCCCCTCTTGCATATTTTTTTTTTTACTCTGACTCCACCCTTTAACTGAATTACAGGGTCTGACCTGGAGAGGACGCTTCTCTTTAGATCTTAATGTCCACAAATCATGACAGAAAGAATATTTTGGTACAAATATTGGTGTTGAAAAAGGCATTGTAGGGTACCAGCCAAGGACCAGCCAAGGGCCTATCAAAGAAAGTGGGGACATTTTGAGTGGCTACTGCTGTATGAATGCACATCTCTATGAAGATCACATTCAATCTCTGCAACATGGAAGTGGAAGAGCCATGCTTTTCTACAGTCAGGGGAATGCTGTTCTTCTTCAGAAGCAGTATTTGGAAGATAAATGCATTTAAATGCTGAATAAAAGTCTGAATAAAATCCTGTTAGAAGCTGCATGAGAGGAGATTTGCCCTCCAGCATCACAGCGCTCAAAGTAGTACAGTGAGAAGGGAAGGAATAGATCAAAGCACATTACTTTGGGAGAATTGGGTTGAGTCAAGGTCCAAAC